CGCAGAGTACCGCCGCTCTTTACGGCAGCGCCGCGACCCTTTTAAACGTTGCGACTAGTTTTTATGACAGTGGCGCTATTTCTCTGACGACCCCGTCACGCTTTACGGCACCCTCGCGAAATCTCCGTCGATGGGTACCGCCTTTTTTCACGACAGCGTTGAGATTTCTGTCAGAAGGTTGTACCGCGGTTTACAGCAGCTTTTCTCGTACACAGCGTCACTTCGCTTTACGGCACTGCGGCCTCGCTTTGCAACTGTGTGAATTTTTGCCCTGAGTCCCTGGGCTTCACGGCAAGGAATGAACGATCGGTTTGCTTTTGCGATGTGTGGCCGGTTCGCTTTACGGCAGTGCTGTGTGCGACGCACCGCGGGGTGGCACTTTCTGTTGCTAGGGCTTCCCCCTGCCTCCTCCCTGTCCCTGCACCTCTCCAGCGGCACGGGGCAGCGAGTGGCAGAGCTTCGGAGACAGAGACCTTCTTTTACAGCACCGCAGTGCACCAGAGATGATTTGCTTGACGGCAGCTTGGCCACAGTGCTTTTTCCCTTTCTTACCGCCGTTGCCCGGGTTACGGGGACGGCGCGGCTGGGGGACGCGGCTGGAGAAGGGGCCGTGACGTAAGCGCGGCTCGTGCTGTGGCGATTGTGGTGGGGGGGGAGCTGCCGTTCCAGTGTTGGTGCAGGTCAAAGAGCTCGTTCGTGCAAAGGCCTGGTGCAATTCTGTAGTAGGTGATTGCACGGATTATTTGTGCACCTATCTAATGCAAAGCAGGACCGTTTTTAATTAGTGCAAATTGGTGCAATTCACTACTGGGAATACTAGGTGCAAATACAGTTAGTGCAAGAAATATCTAGGGCAAATGTGCAATTTTAATTAGTGCTAGTAATTTACTAGGGCAAATATTTGTGCAAACAATAAATTTAATGCATATAATTGGTGCATTTACAAGTGTATTTCACTAAGCTTGTGTTTTTTATCCTTACCCCGTCCTGTTAGTATGGCCTCATGTCACAGCAGGTTGATAGTTTCCTTGGGGTTGACAGCACTGTAAGAATTGCACATAATTCGTGCCTTTGTGCAAATAATGAGTGCAAACAATTGATGCAAATAATTTGTGCACATGTAAATAGTGCAAATAAATAATACACATAACTAATGTAAATGATAGCCTAAAATTCAACTGAGTTATCTGCACTATCAAAGGTGACCATATCAGCTAACGTTAAATCTAATAGCAGTGAGCACTACTAAATGAATTGGCACCAACTTCCACGAGTGATGCAATAATAGTTAATTATCACTACTAATTAAAGTCAAACATAACAATGGTTGGAGATGAAGCTCCCAACATTGCCTTCAGATTAATGCAAGTGCCTAGTGAGTTCAGCAGCAAGCGATGCAGATGCAAGATTCCATCCATCAGGACCCACTGGAGAGACCAAAGGCTGGTGCATAAAAACTGGCTAACTGTGCCTCTGGGAGTTATCAGCTTTTTAGGTCAGAAGGAACCTTTGGATCATCTGTACTGCCCCTCTGCATATCACAGGCTAGAGAATCTCACTTTGCCCCTGTCTGGAACCCAACAATGCATGCATCATACAGGAAAGGCATTAATCCAGCATGGATCAGCAGCCCTCAAGAGATGAAGTGCACTGTACACAGTACTTGTCCTTATAGTGTGATCCAGTTGCTAATCCACCTCCTTGTTAAAAAGTCATGCCTGGTTTCTAATTGTAACTTGTCTGGCTTTAACTTCCCATTGTTAGTGGTTGTTCTGCCTACAGACGTTAACATGTTTTTGTAAATCTGTAACCGCTGAAATTTACTGCAGTTACATGTTTACATGTGGGGAGCCAGGTAGAAGCCAACTCCCTCTGAGCACAGGTTCCCATCTACCCACCTCCATATACTACCTCTGGATCAGAGGCAGCAGTGCAGGAGGCAGGTGGCTCCCCACACATACCAGCTCCCACCTACCCCTCCCCTTGCACTGCTGACTTTTGTATCAGAGGCAGCCAGGGGGAGCAGGCAGCTCAGCAGGAGGTGGTACACACAGGGAGCAGTGTTCCTTCTAAGATTTTCTATTCATGAGCAGAGTTTTGTCTTATGCACCAATATTGAGGTTCTGTGAACTTGTTTAGATGTGTGCCACCGTGGCACCCAAGTTATTAACAGATATCTTACATGTTTTTTAAAATGTTATGGAAGAATTGGGCTTGTTTAGTGTGGAAAGGGGAAGACTGAGAGGGGACTTGATAGCTGTTTTCAGGTATCTAAAAGAGTGGTACAGGGAAGAGGGGAGAAATTGTTCTCCTTGGCCTCCAATGATAGGAGAAGAAGCAATGGGCTTACACTGCCGCACAGGAGGTTTAGGTTGGACGTTAGGAAATTTTTCCTAACTGGAAGTTAAACACTGGAATAAATTGCCTAGGGAGGTTGTGGAATCTCCATTTCTGGAGATATTTATGAGCAGGTTAGATAGACATCTATCCTGGACGGTCTACACCCGTGGTCACCAACTGGTTGATCGCGATTGACTGGTCGATCGCGAGGCCTCGACCAGTCAATCACAAGGCATTCGGGCCCCCCCACTTCCCGTTTTCCCCCCACCCCCGAGAAGACCCACTACCTAGTGATTCTATGAGAAGCATTTGACCTTTGTATATGTCCAAGAGTCCTAGTCAGAGTTTACATGAGAGAATGAAAATGGATTAATCTTACTGCTATTGCTTAACTAGTTGTTGAGTGATGTGTAGCTGGGTTTAGGAGATTAACAATATTCACTGTACTGTAATTTTTAAAAAGATATTGTCAACAACAACAAAAATCACCCAGAGGTAATCAAACTTGGTCTATGTTACTCATAAAATTTAGGGTCTGATTTATTGCTTACTATTGGAAGTAGTCAATACTTAAAATAAGAATTTCATTTGTCAGAATAATAAAAATGTAATTTTTGTTACTATTTACACATTACTCGTATACTTGTTTTCAGTTTGGAGATTACTTCACGAGTACATAGGAGGACAGTTAACAACAGGAGTTAAATTGTGCGACATAACTCAGTTCAAGATATTTAATCACAGGAATGAGAAACCTGGGAAATTCCTTCCTTGTAAAATGCCTGTTCCCTGCTTCTAATCATTCAATAACTTCATACCCACAGAATTTGTTTCCTCCT